TCCTTTGCCATAATGGTGATGACCATTGGTTTTGTTTATTTGGAAAGGTCTTTATTTTAAATTTCATTCCATTCCATACAATTTTGAATCATATGGGGGCACCTGGGTGGCTCAGTCGGTTAGGTGGCCCACTTTGGCTCCTGTGGGGCTTTCTCATGGCCACGATCTCATGGCTCAAGAGTTCAAGCCCCACGTGGGGCTCTGTGCTGACAGCTCAGAGCCTGGAGCCTGCTGTGGATTCTTTGTCTCCCTCTCTCTGCCCCTCCCCTGCTCTGTTTCTCTCTGTCTCAATGATAAATTTTTTAAAAAAATTTAAAAAAAGATTTTGAATCATATACAAACATGCACTTATACTAGGTGCTGTTTCAAGAGTTTTAGAAATGTGAACATTGTACTGGTAGGTTCTGTCACTTCTGCATTTTCCATCTTTGTCTCCTGTTTCTGGAGATATACCAGGATATACCTGGGTCGGTCTTTGGTCTTTTTCCTTATGTGTACAGACGGCGAACACATTACTCTGTAGTCTGTACATGGAAATCCCATCGTGTCAGGTCGGTTCCTCCTGCCGGCCCTTCCTTGTGAGCCTTCTCTTCCTTTGCAGTACACTCACAATAGTGTCTGAAAAATTATTTGTAGGGATAACTTGGCCCAGAAAAGAGTTTAGTTTTTTGTATTGGGTGTCTGTGGACACTTGGGATTTTTTTTTTAATGTTTATTTATTTTTGAGAGAGAGACAGAGTGCAAGTGGGGGAGGGACAGATAGAGAGGGGGAGAGAGAGGGACACACACACAGAATCTGAAGAGGCTCCAGGCTCTGAGCTGTCAGCACAGAACCCGATGTGGGGCTCGAACTCATGAACGGTGAGATCATGACCTGAGCCGAAGTCGGACGCCCAACCGACTGAGCCACCCAGGGGCCACGACACTTGGGATTTTTACCGTCAGCCTTTGTTTATCTGTGGTGGAGAGGGCTGGTCCACTAGCCCGCGGTTAGCAGAACTGAGGTCTCCACTCTGGTCAGTACACAGCCCTCCATGACTTGGTGCCCTGACCCCATGTCCCTGTCTGTCAGCAGTGAGGCCCCTTCCTTGACAATTGCTGAGTCCCCTGTAGTGTTTGACACCATTAATTGCCATCTCCTTTACCAAAGCTCTTCCTATACTCTCTCTCCTGGTTAGTTTTTCTACTTTTCTAGCAATTCTGTCTCCCTCTTAGGCTCTCCTTCTTCGGCCTGGCTGCTCTTTAAATAATGGTGGGCCTAGGGGCCTCACTCTCCCCTCCTCTGACTTTGCGTTGCTTCTTGGATGATCTGCTCCACATCCAAACCCCAGTCCCTCCTGCTTCCCCACCACCTTCTCTCCTGGCTTCATCAGCCAGCTGGGTTGTTCCAGAAGTGTCTCCCGTCCAGCGGTGCAAGTAGCCTTTCTTTACCCTTTGGTGGACGTCTGTCAGGAGAGCAGGCTGGCCCCCCCAACACTGCAGAAGCCGTGGGCTCCTCTTTGTGTCCGTCGTCTTCACGTGTCTCTCACAGCGTTGCCGGGCTGTCTGCTCCGGAGAGGCCTGAGCACCACCTGCTCGCTATTCTGATCAGTGTTCACAGTGCCCAGTGAGTCTGAGCACCTGCCAGGCCCCCTTCTGGCCCCTTCTCCCCTCTGCACCCCGGTCATGACTACGGGTCCCCTCCCCCCCCCCACTTCCCACCTTACCCCCAACCTCTACCGTTGTTTGCTAGCTGGCCTTTCTGTCCTCACCTGTCTCACTCGTCCTTCACGCTGGTAGCTAGACACCTTATTCCTAAAAGGCAAATAGGGCCCTATCATTTTTCAGCTTCAAATCCATTAGTGATTCTTCATCATTTTCAGGATAAAATGAAACTCCTGAGTTTGGTATGGAAAGTCTTCTCCTTTGCTGCCCGCTCCGTGCCTTCATCCATAGACTCTCTGTGTGCCTGTCATTTTGAACTATTTATATTCTCTCTTCTCTCTGGGCCTTTGAACAAGACATTCCCTCGTGTTGGAATTCTCTTTTTCTTTTTTCTTCCTGACTAATTTGTCCTTTAACCTAAGTCATTATTACCTTCTCTGGGCAGGCTTCTGGAAGACCTGGGTTAGACACATGTGGAGTAGGAGAGGAAAAGAAGGAAGGGAAATTTGGTAGAGTCAAGGTCATTGGTGGAGATAGAAATGACAGATTATCTATCAAGATGTCACACTTTTGCCAGTATCTGGACTTCCTATTCAGGGGCTTATTCTAAAGGGAACATGGGTGGAAGCAAGAAAAGAATCACACCAAGAAATAGTAAGGGGCAAGAATAGGCCCTAAAGAAATGATGGGATTTTAGAATAGCAAACTATAAAGCCATCACCTAGAGCCAGATTCTGGAGCATTTGAAGTGAGGGATATCCTTCAGACCTAAACAGCTCAGCTAAGTGAAGTGGAGTTGTAGATGCATAAGGAGGTCTAGTTCAAAAGACTGAAACTAATCACTATATTGCATCATACACAAAAGTTAACTCAAGTAGATTAAAGGCTTGAATGTAAGACCTGAAAGCGTAAAATTCCTAGAAGAAAACAGAGGCAGTAAGCTCGCATTGGTCTTAGCAATGTCTTTTTTGGATCTGATTCCCAAGGCAAGGGAAAAAAAGCAAAAATAAACAAATGGGACTACAACAAGCTGAAAAGCCGCACAGCAAGGGAAACCATCAACAAAATACAAAGGCGGCCTATTGAATGGGAGAAGATATTTGCATAAAAGGTTCAATATCCAACATACATAAAGAACTCACACAACTCAACAACAAAAAAGCAAACTACCCAAGTGAAAAGAGGGGCAGAGGGTCTGAATAGACATTTTTTCCAGATGGCCGGTAGGCATGTGAAAAGGTGTTAAACATCCATAATTATCAGGGCACTGCAACTCAAAAACACAGAGAGCTCCTCACACCTGTTAGAATTGCTATTATCAAAACGATAAGAAATCACAGGTGTTGAGCAAAATAAGTCAGGCAGAAAAGGACAAATATCATATGTTTGCATGTATAGGAGGATTGGGAGGAACTTAATGGAGGACCATGAGGGAGAAGAAGGGGAGAAATGGTGGGGGAAAGGGAGAGAGGCAAACCATGAGAGACTCTTGAATGCTGAGAACAA